TAAAAAATATCATTAAATAGCGATTCACGAGGCACATATGTGAGAATTGTGGTCCTCTTAACACTTATGGGCTAGTGTTATTTGTCACATTTATATTGTTACTTATTATGCCACTTAGCTGCTTAGGTGTCACTTGCCTACTGGTAGCTTTGGCTTGACTGGGATTTATTTCTTGGTTGAGATATTTTCTTGGCTTGACCTTTGGTCTTTAAATTCACGTGAGTTTCCTTCCTAGAGACTCTTCTTCCTTCTCTCTCGTTCGTTCTTGTCTCTGTATCTTTGTTGGAGGCTGTTTTCTTCTTCCTCTTCCTATGACCCATGAAATCGATCCTTTAGCCTTTGATTGGGGGAACTCTTGTGTATACTTAGGCCTGAAATAGTGGCTAAGTGTTGTTGTGTTTCTTGAGGGCTTAATGGTGATTCAGGGCGTGAATCTTGGCTTCTTTTGGTAGATCATTGGATCGATGATCCAAGCCAAGTGGGGAGGTTCTAGCCGGTTCTCTAGCTCTCTCTGGATGGTGTTTTTGCAAGGCATGGAGGCTGTTCCCAAGCCTAACTGATTCGGCCAAAACAGGGAAGAAGAACTCTATTGCTTTTCGGTTTCTATGATTTCTGTATGTTATGTAAATGATTATTGTATGTTGTTTTGAGCAACTGAACTCTGTAAATTCCTAACAAACTGGTATCAGAGCCCCTTCGACCTAGGGTCTGGCTGTGTTCGTCCTTTCTGAATCTGTTGATTGGGTCCAGTGATATATCTATATATACCTTCTGAGGTTTAAACAGAAAACATCACTATTTTTTTGGCATCTTGTTTTCTAATTCGATACTGATTCCTTGTAATTTTCTGTTGTGTATGTTGTTGGCTGAATTGGGTGATTTGGTGACTTTTTGGCTGGCTTGCTCGACTGAAGAGTTAATGGTATAGTTACTGTTTTTCAACAGTAGTTGGTAAGATCGTTCCAAACTCATCTTTAAGTTAGGTTTGGTATTATTTCTCGATTGATGCATAATTGTCTTTGAATTCTAGTGATTGAATTCTTGTGACTGGTTTGTAATCTTAAATGCATGCTTACTTGTTTAATATACATGTGACTTGCCTAAGTCTGAATCATGCCTGCACACATCACACCGAGGTTCTTTGATCGAATTGTTTCATTGCTGTGCTTCATTTCTGGATATTGGTTTTAACTCTGCATTCATACTTTGGATTAATCATTTGGAAAAGATTTTTTCAAA